GAGGAGAGAGAGAGAGAGGAGAGAGGAGGAGGAGGAGAGAGCTTTCTCAGGTAGTCCCAACGTGATGAGGTGACGTGCTTGCGAAGATGTCGGAGGTGCTTCAGATGCTTGCAAAGCTCGAGTCGGATAACCAAGAGCTGAGAGGTGGGAGACAACAAGAGGGAGTGAGCTCGTACTCGTACTCGTACTCGTACTCGTACTCGTACTCGTACTCGTACTCGTACTCGTTCTCGTACTCGTACTCGTAGGCCTTTCCATTCACCTGCTTGCCTGCCTGCCTGCCCTGCCTGTCTTCTGTTGTTCCTCCTCCGATGATGTTCCCTCGACAGGCTCAGTCGTCGATCTGCGAGCTGACAACGAAAATCTGATGCAGCAGCTGGTGAGACTCGACCAGGTGAATCGACTTGACATTGTTCAAGGTCCAACTGCGGGAAGTCGTTGAGAAACTAAGGTATCCTGCCAATGCTGCTGCTGCTCGTCCTCGTCCTCGTCCTCGTCCTCGTCCTCCTGCTCCTGCTCCTGCTCCTGCTCCTGCTCCTGCTCCTGCTCCTGCTCCTGCTCCTGCTCCTGCTCCTCATCCTCCTGCTCGTGCTCGTGCTCCTCGTCATCCTCGTCCTCGTCCTCGTCCTCGTCCTCGTCCTCGTCCTCCTCGTCTTCCTCGTCCTCTTCAACTTCATTCTTCTTGTCTATACTGTATTTGTATGCTGCAGTTTTGTCTTTTTCCAATTATTTTCGGTTCCATAACTCCCCTCTCGTCCTGCCCCTCCCTTCCCTCCTTCCTTCTTGTCGCTCCCCTCCTCTCCCTCCCCCCCCACCTCACTCTCCTCCTCCCCTCTCCTCCTCCCCCCTCCTCTTGTGTCTCCCCCTCTTACTCTCCTTCAGGCACGAGCTGGAAGATGTCCGTCAAACTCTCAGAGAGGAGCGAAACCTTTCCAGCTCGCATCAACTTCGCCGCAGCAGCGAGGTAGCCACCTTGCTGCTGCTCTTGCTGCTGCTGCTGCTCCTCCTCCTCCTGCTCCTCCTCGTTCTCCTGCTCCTGCTCCTGCTCCTGCTCCTGCTTCTCTTGCTCCTCCTCCTGCTCCTCCTCCTCCTCCTCCTCGTTCTCCTCCTGCTCCTGCTCCTCCTGCTCCTGCTCCTGCTCCTCCTGCTCCTGCTCCTGCTTCTCGTCCTACTATTACTACAGCTTCTCTCAGTCCAATTATTCGTTGCTCATGTAGGATTGCCGCACTTGGGCAAAGGACCTTGTGATGGAAGGAATTCGAGCTCAGTCGCAGTCGCTACTTGCTCCACCTGCTCCTGCTCCTGCTCCTGCTCCTGCTCCTGCTCCTGCTCCTGCTCCTGCTCCTGCTCCTGCTCCTGTTCCTTCCCCTGCCCCTGCTCTTGCTCATGGTCACAAGTACGAGCCACACCCTCTTCTTTCTGGGGAGGTCTCGCTTCCCTCGCACTATGTTTCTTCTCTCTCGTTTCCTCTATCTCCTTCCTCTCCTCCTCTCCACAAGCAGCAGACGTCTGCATCTCCGCTGAGATCTGACCAAGAGCTCACTACCGACCAGGTAAGTCTCATCCTCCTCGTCTTCGTCCTCCTTGTCATCCCCTCCTCCTCCTCCTCTTTCTCTTCTCCATCGTTCTCGCCGTCGTCCTAACTCTCTCCCTCGTCCCCTGCCTCGTCCTCTTCCTCGTTCTCCTCCTTGCTCTCGCTTCTCTTCCTTGTCAGGTCTACCTTGAAGGAGGAGGATACATAAGTGCTGCCGTTTCTTCGGAAGCCATCGACCGCGCGAGAACACTGCAGGAGGCGTACTCGGTCAACATACTCACTATACTTGCCGCTCCTTCACCTGCTGAACCTATTTGACCCCTTCCTCCCTCTCCGCTCCCCTTGATGCTGCCGCTGCTGCTGTTGCTCCCTCTCTTCCTGTGTTTGTTTTCCTACCTCGTACCCACCATCCCCCCTCCTCCTCTGCTCCTCCTCTTCTGCATTATTCCTTGCGCTCTCTTATCTTCCTCCTTGCGCTCTCCCTCCCGCTCATCCCCATGGCTTCCCCGCGCCTCCTTGCTCCTTCATCCCTCCCCATCCTTCTCCTCCTCCTCCTCCTCCACCTTCTCCGCCTCCTCCTCCTCCTCTCCTCCTCCTCCTCTCTTCATCCTCCTTGCTGCCTTCGTCTTGCTCCTCTCATCCCCTTCCAGCACAGCTCTTAATTCTTCGCCTTCAGGATCTCAAAAAGCGTCGCTCTTCCCTGCTCTCCTTGCTCTCGTTTCCTTCCTCTGCCGTGAGCTCACGGAGGTCGAGCAAGTCGGTGGATCTTTACGAGGAGGCGGCTTTTCCCACGGAGCAGAGGAACAGCAAGCAGTCAGCTCCGCAGGATCCGGAAAAAGAGGAGAGGTGAAGAGGAGGGGAGGCAGGACCGAGGATAGAACAGAGGGGAGGGGAGAAAAGGAGGGGGAAGGAGAAAAAGGGGAGGGTAGAGTGAGTACAGAGCAGACAGGGAAGAGAAAGGGATTGTGGGAGGGATAGACAACAGCCAGAGGAGCTAAGGAGGAAGAGAGAGGGGAAGAAGGAGAGGGAGAGGGAGAGGGAGAGGGAGAGGGAGAGGGAGAGGGAGAGGGAGAGGGAGAGGGAGAGGGAGAGGAAGGGTTATGTAGGGAGGAGGAGGAGATTCTGTTCAGCGACAGTGACAGAAGAAGCAGGAGCTACGTCAAATCCATGGTAAACGAGCTGACTCGCTTCGGGAAGTTTCAGCCACACAGCGAGGGGGCGAATGGGTATGGCAAGACTGATCAGAGCAAAATGGTAGTGGGAGAAACCATGAGGTAGGGATGGGAATGGCGATGATGGAGATGATGATGATGGAGATGATGATGATGATGATGATGATGATGATGATGATGATGAGGCAAAGATGGTGGAGAGGACGATGACGAGGAAACAGGAGTAAAGACTCGGACGTTCTAGAGGAGCTTCTGAAGCAGCTTGTTGGAGAGGAAGGTTACTTCCCACGAGCTTGAGTATTGAAGGAGGAGCAGACAATGTCAAGAGCTCGAGAAGGAGAGCAATTAGAGCAGGACGAAGACGAGGACAGCTGGTGGAGATAGATGAAGATTACTTCAAGGAGGGCACAGGGAGAGGAGGACCACTAGGTAGGAGAGGAGGCGAACTTCAAGTAATGAATATATTGATACATGCGCTTATGAAGGAGGAGCAGATTTCCTTGGCCTTCCCCTCGGTCTGCCTGTGGGCACATATTGCTTCTTTGGTTTGCCCGATGGTGGCCGTCCCCTTCTCTTCCTCGTCCCCTGTTTGCGCGTGAGACCCTTGGCCCTCCTCCCTCCTGCCATCTCCCTCCTCTCTCCCCTTCCCTCTTCTCCTGCCATCCTCTTACCGCTCCGGCGGCAGCAATGATCTTCTCCTCCTTCTTCGAGGTGCTTGCCTCCACCATGTCCAGGATCGTCCTCTCTTGGTCCGTCACCTTAGGACCTCTCAGCTCTTCCCTTACATATGTTACACTTGCGTACCTCTTCGACTAGGTTCTCCTCCTCCTCCTCCCCTTCCTCCTTCTGCGACTTCAAGATCAGACCTCATATTGTCCCCTCCCCCCCCCCCGCCCCT